ACTGGGCCCAGCTGCTCCTCCTCTTCCTCATCAGCACCTTCAGACCTGGGGGCGGTTGACTCTCCATCTGAGGGTTGACGGACAGCCCATAATCTGCCCCCCTCTCTCTCTTTCTGCCAGCTCCATTCCCTCTTCCCCCTCGGAGCTCTCGGGCCACCGTGATGCTGACCGTGACCCCCCCACACTGCCTCCTCCCCCTCTTCCTCTGATTCGGCTGCTGGATGGTTGACAGGCCACAACATCGGCACCGGATTTGCGCAGTCAAGGGTGCCAAATCCTAAATTCGACACACAATTTTTGCGGCCCGGAAGAGGGTCCTTACGAGCAGCATCCTTACCACATAATCCAAGAGACCAAGATCATGGTGGCTTCGTTGAAGGAGTTGAAGAACTTGATCAGGATCTCCCCTTCGGGCCCGAGCTTCCTCAGGGCGACCCCGAAGACGATGGCAAAGACCACCAGGCCGAGGATGTTCATGCCTTCCACCTCCTCGCCCACCGTCTTCTGGTTGCAGGAGAGAGAGAAAACCGTCAGCGCAGCCCGAGAACCAGAGGTGGGGAACGACGGCCCCCTTTGGGACTCGCCAACTTCAACTCCCAGGATTCCTGAGCCGGCCGTGTGCGCGCACCGCTCGACTTATTTTAACAGAAGGGACCTTGTAGGTCATCTAGTCCAACCCGCGGCCCAAGCTAGTTGATGTGAATGATACAAGTCAAGCTGAACCCCACTCCCGTGGCCCAGCTCTAAATTGGCCCTAAATTGGGGGCCTTACACTACACAACATTCTTGCTTTTATTTTATTTTTTACCATCAAGACTGTCTTGTTCATAGAGTTGTTTCCATTCTCAACAGCTGCCATGCTGCCGAGACTCGTGTTCTTCTCCTCTATTTGAACCGTTGAGTACTAAGAAGGAAAACACAAAGAGATTGTCTTGTTTTCGCTGCGCTTTCTCCAGGAAACAGGATTTGGGGATGGGAGAGACACACCCCGTTCAGATCTTTCCTGGTGGCTCTCGTGCCAACCACATGCCCTCACAAGACCCAGTATGCCCAGGGCGGGAGGCCCACCCCATGTAATATCTGGATATAAAGAAACCACTCCTTTTCAAAGTTGACTTTGTTGATTCAGGCTCAGAGTTTACACAAACTGGCAGACAAAAGCTTTGCCCCTAATCCGTGCCAAGGAAAACTAAGTCTTTGCCACTTTGCATCGGCTTCCGGGATGGAAGGAAGGAAAAAAAAAGATATATATTTTTTCCTTTCCGCCTTTTAACAAAAAGCAAAATCAAACTGGTATATATTTATCTTTGGAAAAAGCAGGCGATTGCACCACTGAGAAGTCAGGGGCGTGGAGAATGAGAAGTTAATGCCAGGACAAAATTGTTAAACTCAGCAAAAAAAGTCCAGAAATTGGCCTTTTAAATTAACACGGCTATTAAAAATTAAGCCAAACTGACTCGATGACCCGCGTTCCCGAAACGAAGAGGATGAGATGCCAGATTTTGAACTGGCTGAGCAAGACGGGGGTCTTGAGCAAGAGTTTATGAGGGGGTGGGGGTGGGGGGAACACAACATCTCCCCCACCCTTTCTCCGTCAAAGCAGAAACACTTTCCCCAGTCTTGCATTCCAGACAAGATGAGCCAACACATAAATCAGATAGATAAAGATACTTAAGATAATTCTTCCTTCAAACAGCAAGGTAGGGAAATCCTCATCCTGCATCTCTGGATACATTTTGAATTTAAATTTAATTTTTAACTCTCTTATTTTTGATTGTGACCTTTTTTTTTAATTGTAATACCCTTTCGCCCCTAAAATAAGACCTCCCCCGGATAATAAGCCCAATTGAGTTTTTGAGCGCATGTGTTGAAAAATAAGCCCCCCCCCCAAAAAAATATTCCAGAGTGCACAGGGGGTGGGCAGGGCAGAAATGAGTGAAAATTGGCCCATTTTTGCCCCCCCCCAAGCCCCCAGGAGCACTATAAGCTTCCTAAAGGCTATCCATGTCTTTTGACAAAAAACGGGCCTGTTTTCGTGAAAAACGGGCCATTTTTTACTTGTTTTGGGGGGGGCACCCTTAGGAGCACTCTACAAGCCTCCTAAGGGCTATTCATACCCTTTTTTTGAAAAAAACAGGCCATTTGGGGGAGGTTTTGCAGAGTGCAAAACCTTTTTTTAAAAAAATCCTCT